TTTTGGACTTTGATTCTCTTTTATGTGCTCAGAACATCACTTTGCTAGCCAGGCATGGTGGTATAACCCCTGTAATCCCAGCACTCAGGAGGCTGAGGCAGGAAAATCGTTGTGAATTCAAGACCAGCCTGGGCTACAAAGTGAGCTCAAGGCCAGACTGAACCGCATAGCAAGACTCTGTCTCAAAAAGACCTAAATAAATAAATAAATAAATAAATAAATAAATAAAATCACATTCCTTAAGTAGTCGATGCATTTTAAGCTGTGAAGCAGCTTGGGGTGCAGTGGATACCAGGGACAGTCCTTAGGCCCCATGCTCTACAGGGCCTCTGCTCCCACAGTGGTTTGGCAGTTTGCTATTTATATTGTTGATGGCCTAGAGGGACATCCTGCAGGTGTTGGCACATCCAGGCCCTGCCTCATCCCCCAGGGCGGCGTGGCCCAGCCCATGTCCTTGTGCAAGACAGCCAGGGCTGGTGGCTAGGACTCCCAGAAGAGCAGTGTGTGGGTGTGTGGCATCGGCATGAGTGTGGCCAGAGCCACTGCCACTCGAGTGTCTCGAGGGCTGTCCCGTCAGACCGCCCACATCTTCTCTGTTGACCCGGAGGATTCCTGTGCTCTCTCTCCCAGACACTGTTCTGCGACCTCACCCCTGCCTCTGCCTTGCAGTACCCCCTCTGGGAGCGGTCCTCTTGTCCCTCCGGCCCTCCCAGCTCACAGTGCATTCTCAGGCCTTACTGTGCACTTTGGGGTGTGTTTAGCCCCTGCTTCTCCCGCCCTAGGGGTCCTCATCGCGTCTGGGCCTAGGAATGGGAGAATCTGGAGGGAAGTTGTCTACAAGGTACTTTGCTCCCCTGCTACCCCCAGGAGACCTGAACTGAGGCTGCCGCCACAGCAGGGTGCTAGCTTGGGGAACCCCCTTCCCAGGGCCCAGGCTGGGACTGAATTTCCAGTGAGTTCTTGGAGCCTGGGCCACCCCTTGCCAGGCAGGTGTGAGCCAGGAGCTGTCTGGTGACCCCGGGGACTTGTGTGGCAGCAGTGTGTGGGGGGACTCCTCCCATGGGGATCGGGGTGGCTTGGTCCAAACCCAGGCTTGGTGTGATTTGGGGGGGCATGAGGTGGCCCTGGCCCATGCTGTTGATCCTGTTCACTCTGTTCTAAGTGAATGTAGTGAAGGTGTGCACATGTGGGTGTGCATGTGAGCATATGTGTGTACAGGGTATGTGTGTGTGTGTGTGTGTGTGTGTGTGTCCATCCAGTTGTACCCCGCCCTCCTCCAACCCAGGAGCCTGGACACACAGTACCACACTAATGCTGGAGACCAGTGCCCCTCTTGTTCCCAGCTGTGTGGGGCAGGCAGGGTTGGGGACAGAGGGAGGGAGGAGGAGCTCAGCTGACCCCAATCCTAACCCTGCTCCTTGGGGTAAGCTGAGCTCCTCCTCCTGCAGCGACCCCTGGCCTGGCCTGCGGGCCGCACAGATGCTGGAGCCCTGCATGTGACAGCCAGCCAGGAGCCCTGGGGCAGAGCGCAGGGGCATTGCTCATTCTTTGGGGCTGCCAGAATTCTGGTGGGGCAAGAGGGGTTCAGGGCAGGCATGGGATGGTCGAGGGGTGGGCTTGAGAGGGCTGTGAGGAGGAACAGCTACTCCAGGGGACACGTGGCTATTTTGAGAGTGGCTTTCTGGGAATGAGAACTTGGCACTAAGGAGTGAAGAACAGGAGCCACCAGCCAGAGTCCTGTGAGCCCAGTCAGCCTCACTGCCCAGTGTGTGACATGCGCACAGGCACAAGAGTGTGTGTGTGTGTGGGTGTGGGTGTGGGTGGGTGTATGAGAGTATGTGTGAGTGTGTGAGTGTGAGTGGGTAGATGTGTATGAGTGTGTGTGTGTGTGTGAGCGTGAGTGTGTGGGTGTGTAAGAGAGTGTGTGTGTGTGTGTGTGTGTGTGTGTGTGACAGCAGGGCCCAGTGCAGCAGCAGGACCGCCTCTCGCCCCTGCTGTCCGCTCTACCCGGCAGGACAGTACACAGCCACACTCTTCATACCTTTTGTGGCTTGGCTTTTTGTGGGTGGAGACAAGGCTGAGCCCTCTGCCTCTTGAGCCCAGGCCTTGAGACTCCAGTGGCAGCTCTAGGCCCTGGGAAGCCTGGGCTTCAGAATTCTGCCCACAACAGCAAGAAATGGGGGTGACCCTGGAGCCCACACCCTGACCGATTTCCCCACTTCCTGCCAGCACTTTGCTGTGCACGTCTAGATTCCCACCTGGCCCGGTGGAGCTGCGGTGGCCCGAGTGGGCGGGAGCTGTACAGTGCCACCCCCCGTGTCCCCAGCCTGGCCGGTGCGCCCCATCCCGTCCGGAGCTCCATGTCTGGGTACCTGGGGTCATTAATTTTGCACAGGGTTAGAACAGCCAGCAGACTGCACGTTTCCTTCCAGCTCCGCTGGAACACAGCTGTACCTGTTTCCTTATGTGTGGAGTCCAAAGCCTGAAATACATTCTATGTGGCCATTCACAGGAGTGAGGCAGCGCTGGTTTAGAACTGACCTTTCACCTTCGTCTGACCTTACCCAGTGTTCCAGGTCCCTGGCTTGTGGCCAAAAGGCTTTGAAGACCCAGAAATGTGGTTAGTAGTGATCTTTCTCAATGCCTGGTGCACATTCTAGGACAGAATAAAAACAAAAGCAAAGCGTCCGCTGTCCCAGGTCCTCTCTGGAATGTCATCTCCACTGAATTTTAGGGAAGCGTGTGACGCACAGGTGGTGTGAGCTTACGGATGAGCTCAGGAAAGCTAAGGGTGAAGCTTAGTGCTAAAGCCATGATTGTCCTGTGTGAGTGTGTGAGTCCAGGATGGGCCCCAGGAATGTGCCCAAGGCTGTTATCCTGGGACAGTGGCAGTGGCCAGTCAGGGTCCCTAGGTTCTTGCAGGACTGGCCCGTAATTAAAAATGGACAGGAGGAGAATGAATGCGTGGCTTCTCTGTTCTTACATCGTCAAGATGTAGCTAGGTGTGCCCAGAAGGAGGGTGACAGATGACAAGAAAGAAGTGTCCTCAACTAGCACAGGGTGGCAGGGGACAAATGAATCGAGAGTGACCCTAGTATTGTCATGGCAGTTGGCCACATAGGAACTGACTCGGGTGACAGAATGGCTTCAGTACACAAAGTGGGTGGCCCAGGGACCCTTGTGAGGACATTACCCCAGGGTTGTAGAGGGGTCCCTCGGCCTCTCCCCAGCCTCCTCCTCCTCAGACGATGTTTCTGACCAAGGCCCTGCAAGAAGCAGCCACACGAACTCTCTCCTCCTCCTTTTCCCGAGGAGCTGCCCTCTGTTGCCATAGGGTCCTGCAGAACTGGGACATGGAGGTCACTGGGCACCAAGCAGAGGGGTATCCAGCCAGAGAATTGGGCTGGGGGCCCAGAGGTGACTCTGAACAGGAGTTTGCCTTTAGCAGGACCCCATTTGCACACCCAGCCCTGAGAGGCTGACATTAGCGTTGTCCCTGGAGATCCAGGATGTGAAGTCACAGTACCCACAGGACGTTCTGGCACCAGGGCAGTCACAGCTGTACAGGGACTCAGCTCTGTCCCATCCTGACCACATTGGGTACAGAAGTCCCAGCCCATCTCCAAGAGATGACTGTGCCCCTAGGCGCAGGGGCCCTCAGACTCACACCAGAGAGGGAGGCAAGAAGTACAAGCTGCCCTTGGCATCAGGCTTTGGGCGCCGGCCTTCCATGGGGCCTTTACTTGGGGTGCGCCTGCAGGAGGCAACCCATGGGGCTCACTGGAGGCCCTGTCCCAGCCCCTGTCTCTGCAGACCCTATGAGAGTGGCAGGACAGCACTCAGCAGTCCCCAGATGTCCCTGTGCCTGGCAGCCCACAGCTTCCTCACTGGCGTCCCTTGTGTTCTCTCGGGCACCTCAGTGATGCTGCAGGACTCTGTTCCCAGCCCCCTTGCAGACTGTCTTGTTACATTACCAGCCAGCCAAGAGCCTGCTTCCCGTTTGTCCAGCAAATCCTGTCCACCAGGCCCAGCAGCCAAGCGTCCCTTCTGGAGGCCAAGGTGGTGTGCAGTGGCAGAAAGAGCCATTGCTCTGAGTGAAACCTAGGAGCCCAGTGGGCATGGGATCTTCCTTCTCCAAGGCCAGACCCAAGGGATGCAGTGCCAGTAGCCTCGTATCCCCAGCCCTGTGTCCCCATTCCCTTAAAAGTTCTATGGGACAGTGAGCCAGGAAGGACGGTACCGTATGGGTGGACCTGCTCCCCCAGTGCTCTGTGTGAGGGCATGGGTGGGGATCATTGGCCGTCAGTCATCTCAGTGTTGCCCAGAACCATCTGGGGTGGATGAGAGTGCTTGTGCCCATCTGCATCAGGACCCCTTCCTGGATGAGACAGAGACCCACTAGGGGCTGCTGGGTCTAGGGGACAGACCCTAGAGGTAGCCAGGAGCTCCCTAGCAAGTGCACACACAGACCAGAAGTTGCGCTTCTGGTCTGCATCAGTTGTGCCCCAAGAATGTGTTGACTGTGAGTGTTAGAGTGACTGTGTTGGAGGAGCGGGACCGGTACCTCAGCACTCTGCCTTCCCTGTCTGCAGCCAGGCCAGGTCCTGGGCACTCTTCACACTAACCAAGAAGCGGCCCATGATTTTTTGCTGACTCAGGTTTCTGTGTCACCTTTGCCTTCTGCCCTGTGTAACCCTGGCTGGGTACCAGTGGGCATCCATGGAGCACCCCAGGCTTACCAGATGTACTGAGGGTGGCACCTGGCCCCCTCCCGCTGCTCCACACAGACCTCGTGGTCTATGGTGGTGTGCAGTGGCAGCGTGGCCTCAGGGAAGGGGCATTTCATTCTGTACCAGGACCCCAGGCTGCTGGGGATCTCAGGTGCGAGAGAGCTGGGGCCGCAGACTGCTGTACCCTGCTGCGCCTGCACTCCTGGCTGACCCTGTTTCCCCTCCTCCTGTAGACCTACTCACGGGCTTCCCATTTCTCACCCCCACCAGGTACCCCGGGTGTGCAGAGGTCTCCTAGCAACCTTTCCAGGAATTCCAACTACCCTGAAACTGATGAGTTTGCTTTGGGAGTCCAAGAGCCGGTGAAACCAGAGGCCACCATGGGTCAGAAGGTCACTGGGGGGATCAAGACTGTGGATATGCGGGACCCCATGTACCGGCCCCTGAAGCAGGAGCTCCAGGGCCTGGATTACTGCAAGCCCACGCGGCTGGACCTGCTGCTCGACATGCCGCCCGTGTCCTACGACATCCAGCTGCTGCACTCCTGGAACAATGACGACCGCTCACTCAACGTCTTCGTCAAGGAGGATGACAAGCTGACCTTTCACCGGCACCCGGTGGCCCAGAGCACAGACGCCATCAGGGGCAAAGTTGGGTACACAAGAGGGCTGCACGTGTGGCAGATCACGTGGGCCATGCGACAGCGGGGCACACACGCGGTGGTGGGGGTAGCCACGGCCGATGCCCCGCTGCACTCTGTTGGGTACACCACCCTCGTGGGGAATAACCACGAGTCCTGGGGCTGGGACTTGGGGCGCAACCGGCTCTACCATGATGGCAAGAACCAGCCCAGCAAAACGTACCCAGCCTTTCTGGAGCCGGACGAGACATTCATTGTCCCCGACTCCTTCCTTGTGGCCCTGGACATGGATGATGGGACCCTGAGCTTCATCGTGGATGGACAGTACATGGGGGTGGCTTTTCGGGGACTCAAGGGCAAAAAACTGTATCCTGTAGTGAGTGCCGTCTGGGGCCACTGTGAGATCCGCATGCGCTACTTGAATGGACTTGATCGTAAGTGTTGCCCACGATGTCCCAGGCTGTGCCGTCCCGATGTCCCCATGGCCCTGGCTGGGCTTGGGTCAAAGGTTTATGTAGTTGTTAGGTTTAATTCTTTTTTTTTTACTTTTTGAGAAAGGGTTTTGATATGTAGTTCAGGCTGGCCTTGAGCTGGCTTTGCAGCTCCGGCTGGTCTTGAATTCAAAATGACCCTCCTGCCTCAGCCTCCCAAATACTGAGATTATAGGAATGTGCCACCATGCCTGGACAATTTTTTTTTTTTTGTAAGACAGAGTCTCACTATGTAGTTGAGGCTGGTTTTGAACTCACTAAGTAGCTCAGAGTAGCCTTGAACTTGCATTGATCCTCCCACCTCAACCTCCTAAGTGCTGGGGTTAGAGGCATGCACTGCCAGCCCAGCTTTTAAAATGTTTTGAAGTATCCCATTGTATACAATATCCCATTGTATGCAGAGCTCCAGAAACCAGGCTTGCCTGCATCTGGTTAAGCTAAGAGTTCTAGGCAGAATTTGCTGGACTACCTACTCATAGATAAATGGATTGATGGATAGGTGGATGATGGATGGATGGACGGATGGATGGATGGATGGATGGATGGTGTGTGAATGACGGATGAATGATAAATGGATGAATGGACGATGGATGGTTGGACAGTGGGTGGATGGGTAGATAGATAGATGATGAATGGATGGCTGGATGGGCAGATGATGGATTCTTGAGTGGCTGCATGAAGGATGATGGCTGAATGAATGATGGATGAGGAGCTGAGGGATCCTTGTCTCTGACAAACCACCTTCCCAGTTGGATCTGCAGTTGACCAAATTCTAGCACAGCAGCCAGTCTGTTGTAGAGTTGAGGTCTGCAGCCTGGGCCCCCTCCGTGAAAGGAACACCAGTGACTGCTTACACTCACTAGACAGATTTGGGGTCTTTGTCCTGTTACCGGAGGCTCCTTTGGGTGCATGGTCCCCAGGGGGATCATTCAGTCCTGATGTCAGGAGACAGCAGGAGGAGCCAGTGGCTGAGAAACAGGATGCATCCGGAGTGATTTCTGTGTTTCCCTTGGAGGGGGAGCAGCCCTTCTCAGACCCAGTGTGGCGCTCTGTGCTGGTGGGTTAGCAGCTCTGTCGTGCCTGGCTTGGTGTCCGTGCCAGTGGGCTGGCAAGGAGAGGTGCTTGGCGTTCCAGGAGTGCCCACCCCTCGCCGAGCCCTCCCTCGAGGAGCTTCGGACAGTGTGGTCCCTCTCCATCCGCAGTCTCCGGCTCATCCTTAAAGATGGGCACAACCCGGCACCTACAGTCCTAACCCCACCCCATAGGGCAGGCCAGCACAGGACGGGAGCACACGCTGTGTCGCAGTCTCCCGCTCTGGGGTCTTCTCATGATCCTCTGTCCCGTGTCAAGCGTGGGAGATCCCAGAGCACTCAGGCGTCGGGAACGCTAAGCCCCTCTCTTTGGAAGCCTCCCTTCTCCTCCTCCTCCTGGTCCTGAACTCCGGCTTTGTATGGGACATAGCACTCCCGGCAGAGGTGGCAGTCTCATTTGCCCCAGTGGGGGTCCCGGGATCCCAGAGAGAGGGGCGCTGGCTTCAGTGTGCCTCCCTCCTCTCGCCAGAACAGTGTTGGAGCCAGAAAGCAGACGGGATGGAGGAAGGCCGCGGGTCCTGAGAGCACTCTCTGAGGTCTGGGCGCTTTTGCTCGCTCTGTTCCCTCTGCCCCTGCGGGCCCATGGGGGTCCTGCTGATGCCTCCTACGTCCCAGGCCCTAGTCTGCTCTCTTTCACTCTGTGTCTGAGGGGAACTTGGGGGCTTTGGTGACTCTTCTTGTTTGGCAAATCCTGGAGTGCTTGGGAGGCTTATAAGAATGGGAGTAGCTCACTGGAAGCCACAGCCATGAGCAGGAATCTGGATAGACTCAGTGTCACAGGAGGACACTGGGCAACAGGGAGCCCTTTCCTCTCCACCCGGATCAAAACACCAGGTCATGCAGGACCTTGGTCCGTGTCTTCCCCAGTCCCACTCAGAGGTGACTGACTTTGGAGGGTCCAGAGGGGAACAGGGATGTCGTCAGTTCCTTTGACGGGGCACATTGCCCTCCACCAGGGTGGGCGAGGTGTGGTGTGTTGCACTCCTCAGTGGCTTTCATGAGGGGAAAGTACAAGTGTGAGGAGGAGCTGCTGAGAGTGGCCGCCGTGACAGTGGCGGTATGGTCACCATGACAGTAGGCCAGGCGAGAAAGGATGAGGGACAGGTCCTCACACACAGGTGGCATTCAAAGCTGTGCTCCTGGATTAAGTCACCAGAGAATGGGCTGGGCCCTATTGGAGGACAGAGGCCCATGGTGGCCGACTAGGAGCGGTCATGTGGCTGGAAGGGACCCACGGTGTGGTGGCCATCTGGAGAAAAGCTTCAAGGAGGACTGAGTAATGACAGTTCAGGTTCAACGGCTGCTTTGGCTATGGTGACCAGGTCATCGCTGACCTCTCCAGGAGTCCCTGGGGTGGGGTGGGGTGGCAGCGTGATGGAGGAAGCAGGCAGTGGTCATTCATTTCCTGGGGTCACCATCACAAGGGACCGTCCTCTGAGCTGGGCCTTTTAACTGGACAGAAATGCATGCTCTCACCACACAGAGGCAGATGTCCGAGATCAAGCTGTCAGCAGGCCCAGCTTCCTCCGTGGAACTGCAGGAGAGGCAACTCCCCGCCTGGCTCCCTGACTCCACGGCTCATGCTGGCTGCCAGCAGCCTGGGCCTCCCCAGGCTTGAATCTGTGTCCCTCCCTCCCCTCTCTGTCCCCACCTGGCCTGTCCCAGTGCGAGTCTGTACATCTCTGTGTCCTCTGCAGTGGATTTAGGCCGCTGTTGTGCAGTGTGACCTCATTTTGACTCATTACATCTTTGAGACCCTGCGCCCAAGCAGGGTCACATGCTGAAATTGCGGGGTGCTCATGCATTAGGGGACACCCCCAACCCCCATGGTTGTAGATGCAGCGGATATAGGCTGTTCCCATAGGCTGTCCTCGCCTATGCTGCTGCCTAGGGGAGGAATGTGACACATGGCCCCTGCTCCTTCCTGACAGCATCCCTGTGGCTGCTGGGTCCCCATAGGGTGAAGTCGGTGCCCCTGAGTCCACTATCCGGGAGAGTATGTGGGCTTCTAAGACAAATGAGGAAGTCAGGATGTCACAGTGAGACCTGAATCCTGTTGGCCACCCAAGGAACAGATGTGACAGGTAGAAGTCCCGGCCAGTTCTGGCCACCTCTGTCACCTTAGTGTCAGGCTGGATGGTAGCCATCTTAGAGGTGCCCTTCTCTTTAGGAAATCACCCAGGTCCCCTGACCTTCTCAGGGAAGCCTGGCATGGATGCCCTCTGCAGGGTCTCCCGGGTGCCAACATGTCAGGCAGGGTCTCCCCAGCAGAGTCCCTCCCTTGTGCTGGGCCAGGCAAAGGCCCAAGTTCCAGGGTGTCCCTGTGTGACCTCTCTGCTGTCCAGCCTGCACTGACCCCAGGCCACTTATCTCTGTGCCGAGGCTGCAAGCCATCGCTGTCTTTCTGGGGACAGGGTTGGGGACACAGGGCCTAGAGACCCAGGAAGAAACAGCCTCTGTGCACAGCAGCTGACCACTGCCCTGGGACAGCCCTGGCCTTGAGGTCCTCCCCACCCGGCCCCACTGCTCCCCACCAAGACAGCATCTCCCCAGCCAGTCAGCACTCAGTGCCCCTTTGCACCCCGCACTAAGTGTGGTGAGAGTTGCCATGCTCTGGGGTTCGGGGAGGGCTTGGAGCCTTGGACTCCCCAGATGCTGGCCTGGGTGCTGACGGTTGCCCCTTCCTGTGCCTCCAACCCACGCGGGATCTGGGAAGCTTGGTCACCCTCCCTGCCCTGCTGCCCTGGCCACCTTCTGCTGCTCCAAAGCAGCCCACAGATGATAGCTGCATCTCATGGAAACACCAAAGGTGGCACCCGGGCTTCTCTGGTTCCACAAGCTTCTGTCCCACAACAGCACCTGAGTTGCTTCCTGATTTCTCAGCTGTGTGTTTAGATCACCCCCTCTCATTCATTCAGATCATTTCTGTGAATGAGCATCTTAGCCTCTGAGGGGGGGTGGGCTTGGAAGCAGAGGCCCAGCCAAGAGGGCGGGTGCCCAGTGCCCACCCACCCCGAGGAGTGGCAGTGGGCCCCTGGTTTGTGGGTGGAGCTGGATAGGAAGCCCATGTCCCTGGAGTGATACACGCTGAAGGTGCTGTCTGCCCAGGCAAGGCAGAGCAGCCCAGGGCGAGGCCAGGGAGGCCCTGGGTTCAAGTCTCAGCTCTGTCTCCTCCAGCAGGACAGCTCTGGACCAGTTATTTAAACTCTGTCACATTCCTCTTTTTGTAAACTGGAGACAATGGTGATCGTGGCCTTTCAGTGACTGTCACATCATCTCTCAGGATAACCGTTGTCCACATTGGCACATGGCTTACTGAACAATACCACCAGAGCAGCCTCTCTGAGTTCACTGTTCAGTTGGAATTAAAATCAAATTCACTAGCGGCTAGCCTGAGCTACATCGCAAGACTGTCTCAAAAATAAATTTCATTAAGTGTTTATTTATTAACATCTG